TTTCGTTTACCTTTTTGATTTCTTGTTTTATTTCTTCCAGGTATTCATTTAATCCTTGTGGGAAATTTGTGCTTTCCTTTGTAGTTGTTATGGAGTCAGATTTGCAGTAATTTTTTCTACTTGTTGGTAATTTCTTTGATTTAATCATCTCTCTAGCTTTCAGCAAGCATTAAGTGCCCACTATGTGCCTAACACTGTACTAAGCTTTAGTTTCTGAGTTGTGTCTTTAAATAGCCTGGAGAGGGGGGCAGGTAGGTGGCACAGGGACAGAGCACCGGCCCTGAAGTTAGGAGGACCTGGGTTCAAATCCGGCCTCAGACCAAACACTTGACACTAGCTGTGTGACCCTGGGCAAGTCACTTAACCCCAATTGCCTAAAAAAAACCCCAAAAACAAAAACAAAATAAATAGCATAAAGAGAAAAGAGAAGAGAGCCCAAGACAGAGTTCTGGGGGACACCCATCATTAGCGGGTGTGAACTGGATGAAGATCCAGCAAAGGAGACTGAGAAAGAATAGCCAGATAGCGAGGAGGAAAACCAGGAGAGAATAGTGTAGAGAAGAGAGTATCAAAGAGGATGGGGTGATCAGTGGTGTCAAAGGCTACAGAAAAGTCAAAAAGTATGAGGTTTTAAAAATGACTATTAGATTTGGCAAATAAGAGATCACTTGTAACTCCGAAGAGAGAGCAGTTTTAGTTAAATGATGATGTCTAAAGCCAGACTGTAGAGAGTTAAGAATACAGTGAGAGCATGAAACAGACAAGAAAAGGCTTTTATAGTGGAGGGGAAATGGGGGAAGGTGAGAGGAAATGAGTGAATCTTATTCTCATCGGATTTGGCTTAAAGAGGGAATAACATACACACTCAATTGGGTATGGAAATCTATCTTACCCAACAGAAAAATGGGGGGGAAGGGGACAAGAGAGCAGGGGGATGATAGAGGGGAGGGCAGATTGGGGGAGGGGGTAATCAGAAGCAAACGCTTCTGAGGAGGGACAGGGTCAAAAAAAAAAAAGAATAGAATAAATGGGGGGCAGGATAGGATGAAGGGGAATACAGTTAATTTTCCATAGCATTACTACTATGGAAGTGTTTTGCATGACTACACATGTATAACCTGTATCGAGTTGCTTGCCTTCTCAATGAGGGTGGGTGGGGAGGGAGGAAGGGAGAAAATTTGGAACCCATAGTTTTAAAAACAAATGTTTAAAAAAATTGTTTTCACATGCAAGTGGGAAATAAGAAATACAGGCAATGGGGTATAGAAATCTATCCTGCCCTATAGGAAAATTGAAGGGGAAGGGGATAAGAGAAGGGGGAGAGATAGAAGGGAGGGCAGATTAGGGGAAGGGGTGTTCAGAATGCATGCCATCTTGGGGTAGGGGGAGGGACGAGATGGGGAGAAAATGTGGAATTCCAAATCTTGTGGAAGTGAATGTTGAAAACTAAAAATAAATAATTTTTTAAAAAAAGAATACAGTGAGAGGACAGGACATGGAGACATTGATTACAGATGGCCTTCTTAAGGAGTTTAGCCACAAAAGGGAGAAGAAATATGGAATGACAACTAATGGGGATGAACAGATCAAATGAGGTTTTTAAAGGATGGGAGAAGACATGGACATGTTTGTAGGCAGTTGGGAAACAAGCAGTAGAGATGGAGAGATTGGAGATAAGTGAGAGGATGGTGATGATGAAGGGGACAGTCTTCCGGAGGAGATGGGATAGAGTGGGATCGTTCATCCATGAAGAGAGGTTTGCTTGGTAAGGAGGAAGGCAGCCTGTTTGTGAGACAGAGGCGAAGGAGAAGAGAGTGGCTGAAGGCATCCAGGTGATATGAGACGAGGAGGAGGAGAGAACAGGGAGATCTTAACAAATGGCCTCATTTTTTTTCAGGAATATCTGAGACACGATTGTCCGCTAAGAGGTTGAGAGTGTCAGTTCTTCAAGGCCTTTTCAGGTATCTCGGGGCACAGGGTTAGGGAGCTCAGAACCCTTGGACCTTGGCTGCTCTTCTCTACGTGCTGTAGTGCCATGACGGTTGCTGCTCAGTGCTGCTCCCCTAGGCTTCCAGGGTCCCTACCCATAGGCTTTCTCAGGGGTATCCTCTGCTCTCGCTGACTCTAGACACAGAGCCTTGCAGACTATACCCATGCCATCTCTGGTCACACAAGGAGGGCACTTTATCCCTTGTTCTGGATGTCTTCATGCTGTTCTGAGGTGGTAGATGTCACTTACTGTAGTTTCTACTTGGATTTCCTGATCAATATTCTGTCTGGTGCAAACACCAGGGTTTTGCTAGATGGGTGACAAGGATTTAGATGAACTATAGCTGTCTTGTTTTGGCAGCCACCTCAGCAGGACAGCCTGAAGGATTTCTTTTAGAGAGCTAGAAAAAAAGGGAACAAATCTCATCTGAAGGAACAAAAGGTCAAAATCCTCAAAGGAAAGAATGGGACAGGGGGAGTGGGAAGCTTAGCAAGGACAGATCCCAGAGAATTCTGCAAAGCAGTTTTCATCAAACTCTTGGTACTGGTTAAAAGGTAGAAAAGCTTATCAGCAGAATAAATTAGGTAAACAACATACAGAAGCAAAAGACAAGATAACAGTGTTCAATAGCCCAGAGACCCCAAATAATAGGATGATTACTCACTATTTGTCAGAAAGTGGTGGCAAAATGGGAAAGCAGTCTGGCAGATATTAAGTTTAGACTAAGTTCTCATACTATATATCACAAAAAGCTACAAATGTGTAAATGACCTAAATATTAAAAAAACCCCAAACAACCCCCAAAACACATTAAGTTGTTGTTGTTATTACACAGTATTTACTATGTGCCAGGTACAGTGCTAAGTGCTTCACAAACTACCTTATCTCATTTGCTTCTCACAACAACCGTGGGGGGCACATGCTACTATTGTCCCCATTTTACAGATGAGAATAATGGGGCAAACAGAGGCTTGCCCAGAGTTACAGCTAGTATCTGAGGTTAGATTTTAACTCAGGTCTTCCAGACTCCAGGTCTGGCATTTCATTCACTGTATCACCTAGCTGCCCCAAGGAAATAAAGGAAGAAAATACTTTTTGTAACTATAGATAGGGGAAGAATTTATGACCAAATAAGGGATAGAGATGATCACAGAGAATAAAATGAACAGTTTTGGTTATATAAAATTGAAAAGTTTTTGCACAAAAAACAAATGCAATTAAAATGAGAAGGTAGTTAACTGGGGGAAAAAAATCTTTGCAGCAAGTTTCTCTGATAAAGGTTTGATATCCAAGATATATAAAGAACTGATTCAAACATAAGAATGACAGCCATGCCCAAATAAGTAAATGGTCAAAGCATTTGAATGGGTAGTTCTCAAAGGAAGAAACTCATGCTATAAACAAACAGAAGAAAAATGCTCCAAATCACTAATAGAGAAATGAAAATTGATACAACTATGGTTCCACTTCATACCCGTCAAATTAAAAAAGATGGAAAAAAAAGGAAAATGACAGTTGTTGGAAGGATTACAGGAAGACAGGCACAATGATGCTCTGTTGGTAGGGCAAACTGGTCTAACCATTCTGGGAAATAATTAAGAACTATATCCAAAAAGTCACTAAACTGTACCTATCCTTTGACACAGTGATATCACTTGTAAGCCTGTACCCCAGAGAGATCAAAGAAAGATGAAAGGAAATTGGGCATATCTTTAACCCAGCAGTAGCACTTCTAGGGTTGTATCCCAAAGAGATCATAAAAATGGGAAAAGGACCCACATATACAAAAATATTTATAGCAGCTCCTTTTGTTGTGGCAAAGAATTGGAAATTGAGGACATGCCCATCCATTGGGGAATGGCTGAACAGGTTGTGGTATATGAATGTAATAGAATGCTACTGTGCTATAAGAAATGATGAGCAGGCAGACTTCGGAAAAACCTGGAAAGACTTGTATGGTCTGATGCTGAGTGAAGTAAGCAGAACCAAGAGAACATTGTACACAGTAACAGCAATGTTGTGCAGTGACTAACTTTGATGAACTTAGCCCTTCTCAGCAATGCAAGGATCTAAGACATCTCCAAAAGTCTCATGATGGAAAATTCTATCCACATCCAAAGAAAGAACTATGGAGTTTGAATGCAAATCGAAGCGTGCTATTTGCTCTCTTTTTTTCTTCTCTTTTGTTTCATTTCCTCTTTCTTGTAGTTCCTTCTATTGGTTCTAATTCTTCCTTACAACATGAGTAATGTGAAAATATGTTTAATAGGAATGTATATGTAAAGCCTATGTTCAGATTTTGCACTGTCTTGGGGAGGGGGTTGGGGAGGGAGGGGGAGAAAAATTTAAAACTCAAAAGCTTATGAAGTGATTGTTGATAAGTCAAAATAAATTAATAAAAAAAAAGAAAGATGAAAAGGGCTAATGTGCACAAAATAATGCAAATGTGAGCAGGAATTCAATTCCTTGTCTATTAATTCCTTCTGTTTTTCTGTCCATTGATCTTAACCTAAATTTTTTCTGCCAACTTTCCCTTCTTCCATTCCTGGGTTTTCTCTCATAAGATTATCTTTTAAATATACAATGCTGTCCTGTGTTCCTTCTACCCCTTTTTAAACCAATCCTGTACAATCTTTCAAGTTATGATTTTTTCTTTTTTGCTGCAAACATAATATTATGTTCCTTCAATTACTTTATCTTTTTTTTTTTAAGGTAGCCTTGTTCTTACTGGCTCTCTTACCCTCATCTCTGATTCTCTCCTCCCATTCTGAATTCCCTTTCCCTTTTGGAGTTTTGATGATTAGTTCATTTTTTCCTCTCCTGATTTTATCTGCTGTATAATTCTTTTCCTCTACTTTTTTCCTATCAGTTCCTTCCTCTTCTTCCTTTCAGGTATTCTAGATTATTGATCATTCTCTTTGACAGATGAGACAGAATTGAATAAGTCTCAGTTTTCTTTCTTCAGTCACAGAGAATGATGCACAGTAATATTTTTTCCCCTTTCTTTTAGAATGCCTTAATCTGGAGATTAGCTGTGAAACAACAGAGGCAATTCCAAAGCTGGCCATTTTTGTGGAAGAGTCATCCAATGAAAGATTCGAGTTAGTAGAAGCCTCGCAGTGTGCTGTTAGATTAGAGCAGCAAAAGGGCAACCGTAAGAAACAACGCCAGCCAGTGACAGTCACCCACAGGAAAACATCTACTAAGTCTATTGCCAATGAATGTAATATATTAGAGAAAGAATTCCATGTGGGGTCAAGCTCAATTCCAAAACAAAGGATTCGTACAAAGAAAAGTCGACATAAACATGATAAGCGTGGAAAGAACTTTACACATTTTTCAGATGAAAGTAAACAAGATAGAATCTTTTCTAAGAAGAAACTCTGCAACTATAATAAATTCAGTAAGTCATTCCATTACCATTCACATCTTATGCAGCATTACAGAAAACATACTGAAGAAAAAGCATATGAGCATGGGAAAATCTTCAGCAACACTTCATCCTTTACAAATTGTCTGACAATTCATGCTACAGAGAAATTTTTTAAGTGTACTGAATGTGGAAAAGCCTTCAGCTGCAAATCTAGTCATATTCTATATCAGCGAATTCATTCTGGAGAGGAATCCTTTGCATGTAATGAATGTGTGAAATCCTGTAGAAGGAATATATCCCTTACTAAACCTAAAAGACTTCCTATTGAAGAGAAACACTTTGAATGTAGTGAATGTGGAAAATCTTTCCGTCACTGCAGAAACCTTGACAAACATAAGAGAATTCATACTAGAGAGAAAACCTTTGAAAGTACCGAGCGTGGAAAATACTTTAATCATTGTAGAAGCCTTGACAAACATAAAAGAATTAATACTGGAAAGAAACCCTTTGAATGTAGTGAATGTGGGAAATTCTTCAGTTATTACAGAAGCCTTCACAGACACAAGAAAATTCATACTAGAGAGAAAACCTTTGAATGCATTGAGTGTGGAAAATACTTTAGTCACTGTAGAAACCTTGACAGACATAAAAGAATTCATACTGGAGAGAAACCTTTTAAATGTAGTGAATGTGAGAAATCCTTTAGCTATAGGACTCTGCTTACTCATCATTATAGAATTCACACTGGGGAGAAACCCTTTAAATGTAATGAATGTGGGAAATCCTTTAGAGGGCGTGGACACCTTAATAGACATAAAGTAATTCATACTGGAGAGAAATCCTTTGAATGTGATGAATGTGGGGAATCCTTTAGAAGGAGTGAATCCCTTAATAATCATAAGAGAATTCATACTGGAGAAAAACCCTTTAAATGTAATCAATGTGGAGAATCCTTTAGAAGGAATGAATACCTTACAAAACATAATAGAATTCATACTGGAGAGAAACCCTTTAGATGTAAAGATTGTGGAAGATACTTTAGAAGAAGTGAATCCCTTACTAAACATAAGAGGATTCATACTGGAGAGAAACCTTTTAAATGTGATGACTGTGGGAAATACTTTAGAAGAAGTGACTCTCTTACTACACATAAAAGAATTCATACCGGAGAGAAACCTTTTGAATGTAATGAATGTGGGAAGTGCTTTAAACAATATGGAAACCTTAGCAGCCATAAGAGAATTCATAGTGGAGAGAAGCCCTTTGAATGCAGTGAATGTGGAAAGTCTTTTCGTCAGTGTGGAGACCTTACTAAACATAGGAGATTTCATACTGAAGAGAAATCATTTAAATGTAATGAATGCGAGAAGTCTTTTCACCATTGTGAAGACCTTGATGGACATAAGAGAATACACACTGGAGAAAAACTTTATGAATGCAATGAATGTGGGAAAACCTTTAGAAGAATTGTATCCCTTACTAGACATAAAAGAATTCATACAGGATAGAAACCTTTTGGATGTGATGATTGTAGGAAATCTTATAAAGGAATGTCTTGGATAAAGATCTGATATAAAAGATTTATAGGTAATTATAGGTAAAAATAAATTCTATTCCCTTTTTACAATGATTAAAAAATGTGAACAAAGAATTTGCAAAAGATTTGCAATCTACAATAGACATGTGAAAGAATGTTTCAGATCACTAATAATAAGAGAAACACTAGAAAACAATTATGATTTCATCTCATACCTTTAAGATTGACAGAGATGACAAAAGACAAAATAGTAGATGTTTGAAAGGCTTTAGGAAGACAAGTACATTAACACGTGGTTAGCAGAGCTGTGAACTGGTCCAACCATTCTGGGAAAAACATTTGGAATTCTATTTTTAAAAATCAGTAAGTGTAAGTACCCTTTGATTTGGTAATACCACTAGTAGGAGATCAGAAAGAAAAAAAGCAGTGCATATATCAGACTTTTTTTGGTATATTGGTTAATTTTACTGAACTATTCCCCCCCTTTTGTTATTCTTTATCATATAGCAATCTTTTGGAGGGGAAGGAAAAGAATACAACGGGAAACATGGGTGATGTAAAAATAAAATACATCAATAAAAAAAATTTAAAATCAGAAAGATGCCATTTATATGAAAATACTTATACTAGGACTTTTTTTTCCAGTAGCAAAGAATTAAAAACAAAGTGTTTGAGGAATAACTATGACACATGAATTGCTGAAATATTACTGTACCACAAGAAATCACCGATGTGAAGAATTCACAGAAGTATGGGAAGATTTCTATAAACTGATGCATAGTGAAGGAGCAAAACCAGGAGAATAATCTGCACAATGACCACAGTAATTAAAGGAGGGAAAAATGACTGAAAGACTTCAGAGCTCTGATTGACATAGCGACCAGTCATGACTTCAGGAGACCAAAGGGGAAGCATACCCTCCCACCTCTTGACTGAAAGATCTAGAATGAGGCATATGTTTTCAGATATAGCCAGTGTTTTGTTTTGCTCATACTAAGGGAGGTTTTTTGGGGGAGAATGGGAAAGTCACTGGGAAGGAGGATGAGAGAAATAAAAGCATCAACACTTTTTTTTTAAAGGGGAGAGTATCCTTTTGATAGAGCCGTTACTACAAGAAGATAATACATAGGGACAGGGACTAGATTTGTGATTTCATTGGTACAGTGAACTGCTAGTTAAAGGAACTTCTGCTAATGCAGTTTGGCACCTTCTCTTCACCATATAATCTTGGGGAATGTCTAGTCAGTCAACAAGCATTTATTAAGTGCTTACGATGTGCCATGTACTGTGCTAACGGGAATGTAAAGAAAGGAAAAAAGAGAGACTGTGTAAAACTGTATTAGCCAGTAAGCATTTATTAAGCCCTTATTATGTGCCAGGCACTGTGGTAACTGCTGGGATAGTAAGAAAGGTAAAATTAATTCCTGCCTTATGGACTTCACACTCTAATGGAGGAGATAATATGCAAAAAATGTACATGCAAAATATGTACAGTGTAAATGGAAAGTAATCCCAGATGGAAGGAAAGAGCAGGAGGAGATGAGAAAGGCCTCCCTGCAGAAAATGTGTGTACAAGATATGTCCAGAGTAGAGCCTGGAGCAGAGAGGGTACATCACTTGCCCACTAGGGCCACCGCCAGGTGTGTAACAGAGGCAGCACTTGAGCTCATGTCTTCTTGACTTCAAGGCCAGCTCTTTATTTACTATTCTAAACTACCTCTTGTCCTGCCAGATAATTTATATTGGTGGAAAAACCTTTGTATGTATTGAGAGTGAAATATCCTCTCTAGACTTGGAAAACTTGGTAGGTGTAAGAGAATTATATTGTAGAGAAACCCCACTCCATTCCCACAATCAAAACTTAATCTTCCAACTTTCCTTCTCTGCTGCAAATGCTCTTGTCCGTTACATCCTTAACAAACCTTTCCATACCCTACTGTCCTTCCAGGCTATCATCCTATATCTCCTCTTTTTCTCAGCCAAACTAGTAAACAAAACTGTTCATGCTCAGTGCCTCCATTTCCTGTCTTTTCACTTCTCAACCTTTTTTAAAGAGCATTTTCCCCAATTACATGTAAAGACAATTTTTAACATTTAAAAAAATTGTTACAATTTTTATCTTTTACCTTCCCCCTCCTTAAGATGGCAAGCAATTTGACGTAGATTATATATGTGCAATCATGTAAAATATTTCCATATTAGTCATGTTGTGAAAGAAGAAATGGGGACCAAAAGAAAAAAAAACATAAAAAAGTAAAAAGTAGTATGCTTCCATCTGCAATCAGACTGCATTAGTCCTTCCTCTGGATGTGCATAGTATTTTTCATCATGAGTCTTTTGGAATTGCCTTGGATTATTATATCGCTAAGAATAGCTAAGTCATTCACAGTTCTCAACTCTTTCTATCTGAATTCCAGCCTCATTACTCAAGTGAAATTGCTCTCTCTAAAGTTACCAATGACCTCTTGACTGCTGAATTTTTTTCTCAATACCTTCTTTATCTCTCTACAGCATTTGACACTTGTTTACCAATTCTTTTCTTAGATATTCATCTCCAAGCTGTACTCTGGACCTTCTCTACTATATCCCATCTCTTCATATTAAAACTTCACTTACCTTTTTAAAAATCAAGTTAACCAATGTTTTTTTTCCCCCATAAAACCAACTTATAGTTTTATTGGTTCAATATGTTTACTTTTAATTTTATTCTTCTCTTCTTTGATTTTTGGGATTTCCATTTTGGTGTTTAATTAAATATTTTTAATTTATCCTTTTTTCTAATGGTTTTAATTATGTGCCCAACTCATTGATCTGCTCTTTCTCTTTTTCAATAGATGCAAACATTTAGAAATATATAATTTCCCCCAAGTACTGCTTTGGCTGCATTGCACACATTTTAGTATGTTGTCTTCTTGTTGTCATCTTTAGTGAAATTATCATTTCTATGATTTGTCCTTTGACTCATTCATTCTTTAGGATTAGGTTATTGGATTAGATTATTTCCAGTTAATTTTTAATTATGTTTCTAAGGCTATTTATTGAATGTAATTTTTATTGCATTATGGTCTGAAAAGGATGCATCTAATATTTCTGCTTTTCTGCATCTGGTGGTGAGTTTTTTATGCCCAAATACATGGTCAGTTTTTGTGAATGTGAAAAAGTTGAGAAAAAGATATATTCCTTTCTATTCTCATTCAGTATTCTCCAAAGGTCTATCATATCTAACTTTTCTATAATTCTGTTCATCTCCTTAACTTCTTTCTTATTTGTTTTATGGTTAGATTGATCTAATTCTGAGAGAAGGAAGTTGAGGTCCCCCACTAGTATAGTTTTACTGTTTCATCCTGTAACTCATTATCACTTTAGAATTTGGTTGCTAAGCCATTTGGTGCATATATGTTTAGTATTGACATTACTTCATTGGCTATGGTCCTTTTTAGCAAAATGTAGTTTCCTTCCTTATCTCTTTTAATTAGGTCTATTTTTGCTTTTGCTTTGTCTGAGATCATGATTGCTACCCCAGCTTTTTTTTTCCACCTCAGCTGAAGCATAATAGATTCTGCTCCAACTTCTTATTTTAAACAGCATATTGTTTGATTCTGGTTTCTAATCCATTCTGCCGTTCACTTCTGTTTTATGGGTAAGTTCATCTTTCACATACATATATACACACACAGAATTGAGTATAGAAATCTATCTTACCCAACAGGTAGATAGGAGTGGAAGGCGATAAGATAAGAGAGGGGTGTTAAAAGGAAGGGTAGATTAAGGGGGGCAGTGGTCAGAATCAAAACAGACTTTTGAGGAGGGATGAGAGGAAGAGGGAGTGAGAGAGAGAGAGAGAGAGAGAGAGAGAGAGAGAGAGAGAGAGAGAGAGAGAGAGAGAGAGAGAGAAATAGGATGGAGGGAAATATAGTTAGTAATTATAACTGTGAAAGTGAATAAGATGATCTGTGTCACTCCTCATCTGATTAGCTCCGTTATCTCCCTATTACCTGTAGGATCAGATGTGAACTCTGTAAGCATTTAAAGCCCTTTGCACTCTGGCCTCCATCCTACTTTTACAGCTTTTTTAAACATTACTCTTCTTCATACACACAATGATCCAGCCAAACTAATTTTACTGTACATTGTGTGTGGGATTCCCATTTTCCCTCTTTGTACTTTCTCTTATTCCTGGAACACTTTCTTCTCAACGTGCTTTCAGAATCCCTAGTGTTCTTCAAGGCTCAGATGAACAAATGAATAAAGCATTTATTAAGCGCTTACTATGTGCAAAGCACTGGAGATACAAATGCAAAAGTAAGAGAGTCCCTGCTCTCAAGGAGCTCAGTTTCTAATGGGGGCAGATAACACATATGGAAAGTTTAAGCTGCAAGCCAAATCATGTTTCTTAGGGTTCAGAGGAAAAGCAGATGATAAATGCTTCTTCTTTAATGTCACTTCCACTGATAAAATCTTACTGGTTTCTGATGTTGAACCATTTGACAGTACTATGACCTTGGTGACAAGAACTTTTTCTCTATCTTTAATAGTTGTGGCTAGAGCATTTGTAGGCTGCATCTCCACGAGGATTGCTTCCCAGGATAATGGCTGAGGACAGTGAGCTGAAATCATTACCATTCCCAAAGACCTTTGGTTCAGGGTCCTGAGCTGGCTCCTGTAGCATCTAATGGGAGATGAAGTCAAGGTGCTGGCTGATCTGACCGGCCTGGCACATGCTGCCTCCTCTCTGTCTCTCAGGGCACCTCAGCTAAGCTGGCTTGCCTGCCCTATGAGTGGTAGTTTGTCGGTAGGTGGTGGGCACGGCTGACCCTTTCTCTACAGGAGTTGTCTCTCCTGATGACAGCTGTAGGGACTGGTCTGGAAACAGGACCAGTGGTTAGCTAGGTGCTGCCACTTCCAGGGCTCTTCTGCTGACAGGCTTATTAATGGTGTTTGGTCAGCAGTTGGTGGTAGGCTCTTCTCCACAGTGATTTCTACCATCGGTGATGCCTGCAAGGACTGGCCTGGAAGCAGATCTGGTGGTTTAGAAAGCACTGCTTTTCCCAATGCATTTGGGTTCAAGGCCCTTGACTATCTCCATCAGGCTCTGAGGGAAGATGATGGTTATGGCAGAGAGGGCTGTTTGACTTATCCGACACATGCTGCCTTCTGACTCTCCCTCAGGGGGCCTCGTTGCTCCACGTAGGCTGGTTACCTTCCTAGTGAGGGCAGTGATGAAGTACCTTCTGTATTTAGCATTTCCTGATCATGCAGTTGCTAATGTCTCCTGTCTTATCATCTCTATTTCATACATACCTGCATGAATCCAGATTGTCTCCTTAAAGCTAGATTGTAATCTCCTAGAGGGTAGGGACTGTTTAATTTTTGTCTTGACATCTTAAATGCTAAAAATAATTCCTGGCATCCAGGTACACACTTAATAAATGCTTATCGATTGATAGATTGATATAAGGGATGTGAGAAATTCTTTAGGTGGGGAAAAGAGCTTACTGAAACAAGATAGTTTGTAATAGAGAGGAACTCTTATGAATATAGGATCCAGTATTGTGGGGAAGCAAGAAGAACAGCCAGGCTCTTCCCCACATCTCCTCCATAAAGATCTAGAAAATTCATCAGGTTAAATCCTGAATGGGCAGTCCAATTAAAAATATATATATATATATATATATCTATATCTATATCTATATATATATATATAGATATATATATATATATATCTATATCAGAGTGAGTCATTTTTCCAGCACAAATCAGTATAAAGAGATAAGGAAGGTCTATGGACAGTGGAGATGCTATCTAGCCAGAAGGTCAACCATAAAGCACTAGGAAGTAAGGAAATAAGCATTTAGTAAGCACCTACTATGTGCTAAGGGGCAGCTGGGTGGTGAATTGGATAGAGCGCTGGTCCTGGAGTCAGAAAGACCTGAATTCAAATCCAACCTCAGATACTTGTATGACCCTGGGCAAGTCACTTAACCCTGTTTGCCTCAGTTTTATCATCTCTAAAATTACCTGGAGAAGGAAATAGCAAACCATCCCAATATCTCTGTCAAGAAAACCCCAAAAAGGGGTCACAAAAAGTGAGACACAACTGAAATGACTAAACAGCACTTTATAATATCTCATTTGATTCTCAGAACAGCCATATGAGGTGGGTACTGTTATTATTTCCATTTCACAGCTAAGGAAAGTGAGGCAGACAGGTTGACTTGCCCAGCATCACATAGCTGGTGTCTAAAGC